CCTAAACCCTAAACCTTAAAAAACCCTAAACCCTAAACCCTAAACCCTAAGCCCTAAACCCTAAACCTTAAACCCTAAACCCTAATCCCTATTCAAGTTATGAAGGCCCTGAACACTACATTTCCCGAGCCCGAAGCCGAACTTCCCAAGCGCCGAAGCCTGCGACCCAAGCACAAGACCTCCCAAAACCGGAGATCCCGTCGCCCTAATATAGGAGCCTGGTTAATTACCAAAACTAAAACTTTGGGGGTTCCTTTTTTATACTCAGTTATGCTATTTTGGGGGCTCCTTTAGTATGACTATACTATTTTTGTGGTTTCTTATTATAATTACACTATTCAGCAGCCCAAGACCATATTCTAATTATTAAGGCCCCTGCGTGCAGGCCCAAGCAAACATCCCCAGTCTTTACATCCCATGTACCTCTTTCCTAGACCGCCGAACCCACTGGGCTACTTCAAATGAACCTTGAAGCTGTGGTAGTAGTAGTAGTAGTAGTAGTAGTAGTAGTAGTAGTCGTGGTGGTGGTGGTGGTGGTGGTGGTGGTGGTAGTGGTGGTAGTAGTAGTGGTGGTAGTAGTAGTGGTAGTAGTTGTAGTAGTAGTTGTAGTAGGAGGAGGAGTAGTTGTAGTAGAAGGAGTAGGAGAATAGGAGCCTTAAAGTTAAAGTCGAACCCTACGCAGTAGCAGGGCTTGAGGATTTAGGTGCAATTACAGCCGCACCTGCAGCCTCCACGCAGATCCGAAAACTTCACCAGCTCAAGCCTCAAACCTGTGACCTCAACTAGTCTACCCAACCGCTACTACTTCAAGGAGCCAAAGGCCTAAAGAAAATTTTCCACATGGTGTATGTATATGGTTTGAGAAGGGGGTCAGGGCCTAATAAGCTGGTTGTCATTACTCACTAAAGGGGGTGGTCCTGCAAGTACCCCCAAGGCATGCCAAGTGTCCGCTGCGATGTCCCGGCTTGGTGCTGCCTCCGCTGCAGGTGCTTCTTCATTGAACCCTGCAGCCATAGATCGTAAGATCCCACGCCCGTGTGTTGTTTGGGAATTTTAACATCAAAGCGTTCGCATCAACTTAAGTTGAAACGAAGGGCCCTCTCAACGTAAGCCTAGAACAGACGTTACATTTTACAGCCTACAGTCCACAAGCCCTCATCCCTAAGTCCCCAATCCTTCAACCTGATGCCTAAGCCCCAAAACCTCAAGACCTTGAGCCTTACATCCCCAAGCCCTAAATCCCCAAACCCAGATGACTCCTGCATCCCCAAAAAGCCATAACCAGCAGCATCATACAGGGGCCTAAATAAATACCTATACTGGGTTCCTTATTAGTATAATATACACCCAAAACCCTGTTCAAATGATTGATGTCCCTATATTAATTCAACCAATTAGGTCACACCAACAGCAAGCCCCAAAACCAAGTAAAATTCACCGAAGCCCACACCAACAGAAAGCTCCAAAGCTTAGGCACTCCCTCAAGACCCAAACCCCCAAACCTATCCAGCCTAAAACCGAAAGGGGCAAATCCAATGTAGAACCATAGATTTGGCTTCGTGAAATTAGGGTCCCTTTTAGGGTCTTTTGTATAAGGTGCCGTACTATTTTGGGAAGGAGACCCTAAACCCTAAACTAACCCCAAACCGAACTCTAAACCCTAAACCCTAAACGCAAAGCCTTCGACTCTAGACTCTAAACCCTAAACCCCCAAACTCTAAACCCTAAACCCCCAAAACCCTAAACCCTAAAACCCCATAGACTCTAAACCCTAATTTGGAGAACTGCCCAAGGACTTTAGGAGGGACCCCTAATAGGGAACCTTAATCCCATTACCTTAAATAACCATTGTATAGTGCTTATATACCCCTTATATAGCCAGGTAGTCTCCATATTCTCGCCAATAACCTACAAGGGTCCCTATTAAGGGTCCCTCCTAAAGCCCTTAGAACTCCCCAAAAAGAAGTCGGAGAGCCGCCAGGAGCGTAGCGACTCTCGGGACAGCTGGGTGCAGGCAGCGCACTTCTTGTTTTCGGGGTTTTAGGGCTTTGGGTTTTAGGGTTTAGGGTTTTAGGGTTTGTTTTTTTTGGGGGTTTTGGGTTTAGGGTTTTAGGGTTTGGGGTTTTTAGGTTTTTAGGGTTTAGGGTTTACGGGTTTGGGGTTTTAGGGTTTTAGGGTTTAGGGTTTTAGGGTTTAGGGTTTTTAGGTTTTTAGGCTTCAGGGCTTTGGGTTTAGGGTTTTAGGGTCTGGGTTTTTCAGGTTTTTAGGCTTTAGGGTTTAGGGGTTTAGGGTTTCAGGGTTTAGGGTTCTAGGTTTTTAGGCTTTAGGGTTTACGGGTTTAGGGTTCTAGGGTTTGGGGCTTTTTAGGTTTTTAGGCTTACGGGTTTACGGGTTTAGGGTTTTAGGGGTTTAAGGTTTAGGGGTTTAGGGTTTAGGGGCAGGTTGTAGGGGTGCGTCGTCTGGCTGTTAGGGTTTATGAGGTTGATGTTTCTCTTGGGTATCTAGTGGCACTAAAGTGCTTTCGTGGTATATGGTTATTCATCAGGGTGGTTTCTTGCTTTGTATGGATCTTCATAGCCCTAAGCCCTACGCCCAAAACCCCTACACCCTAAACTCTAAACTCTTAAGCCTTAAACCCAGTCCCACTATTGGAGCCCATATGATGGTGACAGATCAGTGGGGCACCCGGATGATGGTCATTAGCTATTGTCACTATCGCCACTACTTTTTGCCATGCTTGCTTCTATTGCTTACATAGCACAGCTGCCTGTGGCTGTAGCAATTTGCAGTGCACTCGGAGGCTGGACAAGTCGGCCAATCATAGCAGCCTAGCCCAGGCAGCTGTACGCAGGTTAGTTGAGGCAAACCCCAAACCCCAAACCCTACCTGCTTCAAGATGCAGGAGATGGGTGGCGACGTGTTCAGGGCAGATGGCCTGGAACTGAGTCTTTCTACTCCAGAGAATGGAACAACGACTACTCATATCCGCCTAGCGCCGCTCTATCATTACACAAAGACACCTCCCAAACCCATCTTCGTCCAGTAGCTGGAGCCTGGTGGTGGTGGTCGTGGTGGTGGTGGTGGTGGTGGTGGTGGTGGTGGTGGTGGTGGTGGTTGTGGCGGTTGCTGTGGTGGTTGCGCTAGTGGTACTGGAGGTGGTGCAGCAACGAAAAATACGCAGCAGCTACTGTCGTAGGAGCTGCAGCAGTAGCAGCAGTAGCAGCAGCAGCAACCCTAAACCGTTGACCCTGCAACCCTAAACCGTTGACCCCAAACCCTAGGCCCTAAGCCCCATACCAACCACAGGCAGAGCTTGCTCAGAGTTGTTCAGGAAAAGCTCTTCCCGGAAGTGCACTTTAAACTTTGAAGCCCGATGTCAATGTGTCCATGGACCCCCCCCCCCCCCCAAGCGGTAAGATACCTTAATGCAGGGCCTTAATAATTAGAATAAGGTTTCGGGGTATCGTATACTATAATCATAATAAGGAACCCCAAAATAGTATAGGTAAGTATTTAGGCCCCTACATTATGCTGATAACAATCTGTTGGGATCCTGACTTTAAGTAACTACTGAAAGGGTGAGCGGGCAGTTTGGCTTGTAGCTTAGGAGTGGGTGTATTATTGCGATAACTAGTTCTAACATGTTCTAACCTAATGTAAGGGCTTAAATAATTACCAATACTATTTTGGGGGCTCCTTTTTATGATTATAGTATAAAGGGCCCCATAACCTTATTCAAATTATTACGGCCCCTATATTACTTCCTAAGCCCCCTATCCTTGTTCCTCGAGGTTTTGGCAGCCTGGACCCATGGCTGATAGGCCCTCGCTTGGGAGTGAACTCTTGGAGCGTTTATCGGGATCTGTTGGTTTTGTCTGCTTTTCGGGCCTTACAGGGGTCAGAACCTTCTCGATTGCGGCAGGGAGGGGGGGCTCATATTCTTGGATTTGGCTGGAGTACAAGGGCTGGAGAGGCAGGGCGTTCGGGCAGGTTAGAATGGCAGGGCAGGTACTTGTGGATGTGAGAGTCGAGTTTCACCTAGGAGGCATGTATGGTTGGATTTAGACAGAGTATCCGGGGGTTTAGGCTTGGTGGATGCAGATTCCCTGTAGGATCGAACAATCTATCAATCGGAGCCCCTGCAAAGGTATCCTCGCATTGTATGGATGACAACCTGGCATTTTTCGAGCTATGTTTGTGGACAGTTCTGAGTTAGAGATAGAGCTTATATTCCACATCTAGGATCCATTTACGTTTACTCTATTGGTCATTGGTTTCCTTGAAGAGCCCATAACGAGAAACCACTCAGAGGTGCGCCACTGTACGACACGCCGGTGCAGCTTTTCCGCGAGAGGCGCCAGACTTTTTGGTCGCTCTCCCTAAACCCTAAACCCTAAACCCTAAACCCTAAACCCTAAACCCTAAACCCTAAACCCTTTATTCTGTCCCCTGCAGAATCCAAGCCGAAGCAAGACCATGGTTAGGGTCTTGATTTACACTGCAGGCTCCCGAGCATAATATGGGAGTTTCAGAAAATTGGGGTACCTTATTTTGGGGTCCTTATAATAGGGATCCTATTAATTAGGGTACTATATTAGGGTCCCCTATTTTCGGAAACCCCCACATAGGGTCTCAATAATTACCTGTAGTATTTTGGGGTTCCTTAGTATAATTATAGTATGATATACCCCAAACCCAATTCTAATTATGAAGGCGCCTATATTAACTTAAGGCACACTTTCCCCCTTGATCTTTTTCGGTTGCCCCGATGCCCCACAATTTCGAACCTGACAGCGGTGAGACACTGAATCGCTCAGCAGTTTTGGGAGCATCTGAGATCTGTGTGTTGCAGAAAACGAGAGGCCACTGTATAGACTCTAAATATTTGGACCCTTGCTGCACAGATGCGCGAAACTGACAACTGGCCCTAAACCCTATATCAACCTTCAGCCCTAAACCCTATACCCGAAGCCCTAATAAAACCTTAATCTCCAAGCCCCAAACCCTAAGCCCGAAGCCACACTGGCCCCGATCTCCAATTTCAGCCGTCGGCCCTTCAGCAGAGAGGCTGGACCCCATGCCGCTTCCTTCCGCCGTCCTCGAAGAGGCCAGGGTTTTGGGTTTAGGGCTCGAAGGGTTTACCCTAAACCCTAAACCCTAACCCTAAACCCTAAAACCCTAAATCCTAAACCCAGTCCATCGCAGCTCTTTTTTGGGGGCCACGCTTCGGTTTGCTTCTGTCGGAAGTCAGGGTCCAGGATGGGAGGCAGGAGCTGATATGGATTGCTTGGGTCATTGCAGGGTTTTCCCCAATTCCGACACCTGCCCTAAACGCGAAACCCTAAACCCGAAGCCCTAAGCCCAAAGCCCTAAACGCGAAACCCTAAACCCCAAGCCCGAAACCCAAAGCCCTAAGCCCTAAACCCAAAGCCCTAAGCCCTAAACCCAACACCCAAAACCTTAACCCTAAACCCTAGGCCCTAAACCAAAAGCCCAAAACCCAAAGCCCTAAACCCTAAGCCCCATCGGGTTTGGGCTTTAAGGTTTAGGGTTTAGGATGTAGGGTTTAGGATTTAGGCTTTAAGGTTTAGGATGTAGGGTTTAGGGTTTAGGCTTTAATGTTTAGGGCTTAGGATGTAGGGTTTAGGGCTTAGGCTTTAAGGTTTATAGTATAGGGTTTAGGATGTAGGGTTCAGGGTTTAGGCTTTAAGGTTTCGGGTGTAGGCTTTAAGGTTTAGGGCTTAGGATTTAGGGTGCAGGGGTTAGGCTTTGAGGTTTAGGGTTAAGGATTTAAGGTGCTTTAAGGTTTAGGGCATAGGAGTTTGGGTGCATTGTTTAGGGTTTAGGGTTTAGGGTGCAGGACTTAGGCGTTAAGGCCGAGAGTTTAGGATTCAGAGTGAAGGGTTTAGGGTTTAGTTTAGGCTTCAGGGTACGTAGACAAACCGTTCTGAGTTTCGGGTTAGATCTCTCCTCCCTAAACCCCAAGCGCTAAAAGAACAAACACGCATGCCCACCCGACACGGTTCTTCGGGGGGTGGGCCCTTTGGGGATCCTTTTTATAGGGGTGCCGTACTATATTGGCGACCTAAAAGGGACCCAATTTTGAGAAACTGCCCATGTACAGACAAGTTCGCAAACCCCCGGAGAGGGCTTGGGGTTGGTGCAACCGGCACTGCAAGATTGAACCTCGAAGCCCTTCTTCAAGAATTCGTATAAATGCCCTACTTCAAGCCTGAAAAGGAACCCCATTCTCAGTGCTAAGGCCACTATTTAAACCCTACACCCTTAGCCCCTAAACCCGAACCTAAACCCCTAAACCCCGGCTATAAACCCCTACGCCCTAAAACCCCACACCCTGAAACCTAAAGCCCTAAACCCTAAACCTCGACTAAACCCTAAACCCCTAAACCCCGCACCCCTAAACCCCTAAAGCCTCAACCCCTAAACCCTAAACCCTCAACCCTAGGCGCTTAGAGCTGTCTGGTGCTTAGTAGGGAATGGGGGAATGGCTTTTAGGGACTACTATAAGGGACCTTCAGGGACTATCATAGGGATCCCTTCCCCCATTCCCTACTAAGCACCAGACAGAGAGCCCCCGAGATCTTCCATGCCGGCCTCCAGGAATCGGACTCGGAGGAAGAGACGCCACCAAGGCGAGATGAGTCGACGTAGATCTTGCCTTTTAGGATGAGGATGCTCATGTTATTTGATAAGGTATGATATGATGTGGTATTGTGTTATATTACATCCCATTTATTATTTTGTATTAGGTATGTTTTTATACGTGTCTATATATATATATATATACATACACGGGCGAGCATATATTTATCTATATATACATATATATATATATATATATATATATTTATGATGATGATGATGATGATGATATACGTATAATGTGTATATTCTGCGAATACGTTAGCTTGGGTGACTGTATGTTGGGTTTACTTGGAACACGTATTGTGAGTGTATATGTTGCTCCCTGCCATGCTCGGTTAGGGATCTACAAGAGACAGCACGATTACTTTCGGTATCACGGAGCAGCGGCCTAGGGTAGTCTGAATAATTACCAATACTATTCCTTAGGGTTCGTTTTGCACTTATACTATGACATACCCCAAAACCCGACTCTAATCACTAGTTGCTTCCAGCGTGTATATACAGTTTTGGCACAGGCAGGCTAGTCTGCAAGCTCCGCAAAGCGGCTGCTTGGGAACCCCACCTGCTTCGGAACACGAGGGCAAGCCGCAGCGGTATCATGGAAATCGGGTCCCTAAATCCTATAAGCCCTAAGCCTTAAGCCCTAAACCCAAACCCTCACTAAGCACCCGGATTGCGGTTTGGGAGTGTGCCGCACTGAAAGTATATATATATATATATAGATATATATATATAGGTATACCATGTTAGAGCAGGGATGAAGATGCACGAAAATCATAAATCTGATGATATAAATCCTGCATTACCCATACAAGGTAGCGCAGGATTTATATCACCAACCGTAGTAATCATACCCCTTTAATGATCGTATATGTCATATAGCCCCTTCACAAAAGCAACAAGCGCCTACTCGTGTCATCGAACGGCTCAAGAGCTCCCCAGAACCCAAAAGCCTCGACGCAAAAGGCCCCGTGCCCCGCTCCCAATCCATAGTGCCCTAAAGCCCCCAACCCTCAAGGAAGTTCTATGCAGCTATAGAGTGTACATTTTCGTGTATATGATATCGAGACACACACGCACACACACACACGCATATATATATATATATATATATATGTTTATTTACTTATTCATGTATGTACGTATACACGACCTCACCTTGACTCTTCTTGAAACCCGAAAGTGCCGGCACGCTCGGCTTCCTCTCGTCTTTACTTCTGTACAGCTTCTGAAAACCTCCGGGCTGAGATGCTTCCAGCATCCGACACACCGGAACCGCCTCCGACAATCCTGAACCCTTTGGATAGTGTTTTGGGTTTAGGGTTTAGGGTTTAGGATTATTTTTCAGAGTCTGTCCATGGCTAGGGAAGTCGCAGAAGGCCCGCTGCAATAGCAGGGAACAGGATTCTGGATGCCAGCCCACACTTCCTGCCCTTTTTTCGGCGCCGGCACGCAGCGTGCTAGGCAGGACCTTAATGGCGGTGCAGGGGGGAATCGCAAGGTTTCTTCGCGCGCCCTTACTCGAGAACGGGACCGATTCCATGGTAAATCGCATAACCCCGAAGAGCCCTACTCACACCCTCTAACAGCCCCTACGCCCTCAGCCACATAATCGTCATTTTATAAACACGAGATCCGAATCTCCAAACCCCGAATCCTGCAATCTGAGCCGTATAATCACTGGCGTGACAGTAGTGCCTGTAATCCGTGGAGTCACTAAACTCCGCAATTGTTTAATCGTATTTTGTCGGATGCTACTAATTTGTTTCTGCAAAACCTATATACTGTCCAGAGTCCATTGTGTATATTACAAATCCTACGTACTCTTTGGGATCCTTCGTGGGGTCGCTACTTTGACAAATCCTCGTTTTCTTTCCTAGATCTTTGAGAGCAGCCAGCAAAACAGCGAAGCACAAACGGCCCTAAATCCTAAGCCCTAAACCCCTAAGCCCTATCCCCCAGGCCCTAAGCCCTAAATCCTAAGACCTAAACCCTAAACCCCTATCCCCTATCCCCCAGGGCCTATCAACCTTAAATCCTAAGCCCAAACAGCCGCGTGCTTCCCTCGATCGACATATGTGTGCGAGCTTCCAAAAGGCCCAGGCTTCTGGGATGGGGTGGTTTGGTCTGGGAGTCGGGCTCTGGTTTCGTTATCGTTAATAGGGTTTAGGGTTTAGGGTTTAGGTTCTAGGGTTTAGGATTTAGGGTTTAGGGTTTTGTGGAGTTTGATGTGCTGGGTTGCATGGGGTTTCGTAGCTTTTTGCTAGGGTGGATGATCCGATGATCGGTTTTGGGGGGATGAGGTTCAAGGCCCTGTTGGCAAGTTGGGGCTGCATGAACCCTAAACCCTCAACCCGAACCCTCAAACCCCCTCAACCTCCAGTTTGGGCAATTTGTCCTTGGGATTTGGGTTTAGGGTTTAGGGTTTAGGGTTTAGGGTTTAGGGTTTAGGGTTTAGGGTTCAGGGTTTAGGGCCTCAACCCCCAGCTTGGGCAAGTTATCCTTAGGGTTTGGGGCCTTGCCGTGTACGGTGCGCTTCTGCATGTGGTGCTGGTCTTTGCAATGTCTCAGGAGCTGAGTCTCGATCATGCCATCGTAGTCAATCATGGCCTTAATCTGAGGTGGCAAGAAGCACAAGAGTGCAGCGGCACTTTCCTGCATCTCAAGATTGTTTCTGCATCGCATCTGTGCGACACCTTGAAAGACACTTGCCCGCGCCGGCACGAGCGGCGCAAGCATGAGCGCTGGCTACCCACAAGCCGAGCCTGCTGCGAAGACAGTGAGCGAGGCCTCCACCGCAGCTTCAGATGATGCTTGGCTGCACCGGGGTTTAGGGTTTAGGGTTTAGGGATCTGCTTTCTTTGTAAATTCAGTAACTCTCAGCAGCTGGCTTCAATCCTCCTTCTAAGTCTGTGGGGCCTGGAATTAGAACCTTCCTGCCGAAAAGATTTCAAGATTCTCATAAACGAGCTGCCAATTTCTCTATAAGGGTTCATTACGGGTACGTCAAGGGTACTTAGTTCTCCAATACCCAACCTTTAAACTTTTTGGGTTATTCGACAGAGTCAGTCTCACGCCTTTCGCTGGGGACCGTGCTCATGACCCGACGTGCTTTAAACTTTTTGAGTTCTTATAGCTTAGTAGTAACTTGAAAGTTTAATTTTTTTTCCCTGAAACCCTACACCCTAAACCCTAAACCCTAAACCCTGGCCTCTTGGGGAAGTAAGGGTAGCTCTCTAAATTCGGTTTCCTGGCTCGACCATCCATTTCCTGCGTGGAAAGCCCTTTGCGACTCCATGTTCGGGTTCAGGGTCGATACTATAGGGGCCTAAATAATTGCTGTATATTATTTTTGGGGGTTCATTATTATAGCTATAGTATGATATACGCCAAGACGCTATTCTAACTATTATAAGGCCCCTACGTTAGGGTTTCGATGCGGCGCTGGACCAACCCTACCCACCCGAACCACGCCCTAGACAGTTTGAAATAGGTTTCTTAGTTCTGTATTGCCTACCCAGCGAGCGAAATACCCCTTAACCAAACGGTATATCTTAACTCCGAAGAAGAAGAAGCCCTGATCATATATTTCAAGGTATATCCCGCAAGTCACATTTGGCTCGCTGGGTAGGGGCTTCACAGGTCCCCCATGGGGCTTTTGCAAATCCCGAAATTCGACACCCAATGCCATAGAAATCTATAGCGCGTGCGTGTCCTGATAGGGCCTGTCCTCGAGGATGGCACTGAATGAATATGTTTAGGGTTTAGGGTTTAGAGTTTAGGGTTGAATATGTTTATAGTACAATCAACCCTAAACCCTAAACCGCCTAGAAAGTTGGAACATGGATTTAGGAGGATTCGTGCTAGGATCCTTTATACTTAACCCTAAAGGTATGAGGACTATATAATGCTCCAACTTTCTGGCTTCTACTGTAAACCCTAGATCCTAAACCCTAACCCTATATAAGTGGGAACCTTTCAGAGGATATGATCACTAGGGTGCTTGCAGGAGTCGCCCCAAGACTGCGCAGAGAAGTCTTCTTCAAAGAGGGCCGTGGAACTGCGAAAGGAGGTGCCCCTTGTGAGTATTTGGGTTAGGGTTTATGCTCCAAGGTTTTCGGGTTTCGGTTGCGAGGGCTATAAATACGACAAGCTGTTGTTATACTACTTATAAGTCCGACTAGGGCACGAAGTCCCCTTAACCCTAACCCTTGAAGCTTTATCGTGGCCCCTTTCTGCGCCTTCTTAAGGTTCCCCTTGCTGCTGAAGCACTCTGGGCATCCAAAAGACTCATCTGGTTTAGGGTTTAGGGTTTAGGGTTGAGGGTTCGAAGCCCTCAACCGTAAACCCTTGCTTGGAGGATCAGGGGACTTAGTAAGTAGGGTTATAAGTACCCTAAGTTGGGGTTATAAGTTATTGCAAGTCTAGTTACCTTGTTTATATCCCTAGTTACTAAGTCCCACGAGCCTCTAAGTAAACGCTTATCCATGAATGCCAGAGCACTGTAAGCCTGTAACCCCAAACCTTAAACCCTAAACCCATAACCCCCCAAAACCATAAACCCTACTAAACCCCCAAACCTTAGATTCAACGCAAACCCCCCCCTAAGCCTTCTAAACTTGACCCACCCTAAACCCCCAAACCTTAGATTAACCGCAAAATCCCCCAAACCCTAAGCCTGCTAAGTTACGACCCTAAACCCTAAACCCTAAACCCTAAACCCTAAACCCTACACCACAACCTGGGAGGCCGTCGAGGTGGTCATTGGCACCTCAGAGGACAAGCATCTGGCGCGGAAGGTGGCCGAGCTTTGCAACGAGGCCGTGAGAACGGGAGGGCCAGCTTTCCTCAGGTTTTTCTTGGGGGTTCCAAGGGTTTAGGGATCCCACTTCTGTACAAATCCTTTCCTCAGGTTTTTCTTGGGGGGTTCTAAGGGTTTAGGGATCCCACGTATTTACAAATCAGAATAAGTCGAGCTGCCTTGTCGCTAGATCCTTGAAGCATCC